AGAACGGTTCGACCAGCCGTGGCTTCTTATTTGGAAAGTGCTGGTTTCTCCACTTGGTCACGTGCAAATTTCGTTGGTAATCGGTACAATGTCATGACTAATAACAGTGCAGAGTCACTAAACGCAGTCCTCAGGCGACAACGAAGTTTTCCTGTAATCTCGTTGATCGAAAACATTACGTCGTTAATGCAACAATAGTTCTTCGAGAGGAGAAACGCATATACCAATTATTATAGTATCTTGACACCAAAAATGGAGAAGGANTCGTGGGTCGAAAACATTACATCATTAATACAACAATGGTTCTTCAAGAGGAGAAACGCATCTACCAATTGTCAGAGTGCCTTGACACCAAAAATGGAGAAGGAATTGAGAAAATCGTTTGACGCCGGTGCGACCTTACAAGTACGAAATTTGGATGAATTTGTTTTCGAGGTTGGTGTAGGTGCAGAAACGTATACTGTCGACCTTATAAGTAACACATGCTCATGCCGAGAGTTTCAGATGCGGCAAATTCCGTGTGCACATGCTTCCCGAGCTGCTTGCGCAATCGGGAAATCACTGTATGACTTGTGCTCCCCGTACTACACCATAAAGTTTTGGCGAGCTGCGTACACAGAAGTGCTTTACCTCGTCGAAATGGAGTCAGATTGGGTTGTTCCTCATGCCATTCGTTCAATCGAAGTGTTGCCCCCAAATATATGTCGAGCACCAGGTCGCCCTCCTACACAACGTAAACAGTCAAGAACTGAAAGGTCGACCAGCACACGAAAATGTGGCCGATGTGGGGAGTCTGGACACAACAGGCAAACATGTAGGAACCCGACACCTTTGAGTAACACGTGCACTTGAAATTGAATGCCATTTGTTTTTGTTTTGAAATTGAATGGCATTTGTTTTTTACTTTGTTTTGAAATTGAATGCCACTTCAATTGACGTGCACTTGAATGTCATTTGCTTTTTGTTGCATTACATCATTTCTATTATTGTTTCCAAAGTTTATTTTCTTAGTGTATTAATCGGTTGGGTTTCCTTTAATTACTTCATGGTTAGAATTTTCATCATCACTACAATATTGAATTTGGTAACTAGTATGAAAGAAGCCATGAATGACTCGTTTTCATAAGGCACTAGACATTCAAACTGGTAATCACAACAAAAGCATGCCATAACTGTTTGCATGTTGTAGGTGAATACATATACAAAATGGAGATTACCACAAAAAACTACCCATTACCTATATGGATTTTTATGTTACTACATATACTTAAACATTTCACATGCGACGATTGCTTCTTCTACATGTCCTCCACAATGGACAAAGAGGACATCTCACTGTCATCCTCGTTGTCCGAGCTTATTATGATCACATCTTCATTTCTTGTGGGAATCGCTCCGACATTATCATCAAACAATACGTGGTCTGCTTCTGGTGGAACTTCTACTGGGACGATCTCACGATCGACGATACGATCACCTACTCCCACTTCGACAGGCTCAATTTCTTTATTTAGATCCGGAAATGGAATGGGATAAAGGCTTACCCTACGGCGACGATTCCTCGATTGAGGAACATATGGAACAAAAATATTGACATCTTCATCATCTTCCGAGTCGATGACTATGGGGTTGTCCACGGACGACCTGAGTGGGGTGAAGTTAACAGATTCGGTGGATGAAGACATAACTTGTGGTAAAAACTTGTTAATGCTAGTACTTTCCTATT